CCCCCCCCCCCCCCCCATTACAATTAGTACTAGTTATTATTATTCTTATTTCTTCCACTTTCTTCCGCCGGACGGGGTTTCCAACATTTTTCTCGAAATACGTTGGGCGGAATTCAACCAAACTTTACATGAGTGTTTGTGTATGACAGGCGGTGCGCAAGAGTATTTTTGTTTTTCGATTGGTCAATCGACTGGTCAGCGGGGCCGAACGGCGGCCTCTGATTGGTCGAAATTTAGATATTTTTCGATTTTGATGAAAATTGGTATATAGGGATATTAGGGGACTGTAAGTTCAACCACATAGGTTTCGTTGCCATAGCAACCATATAGCAACCACACGAAGGGTTCGGATTGGTCGAAATTTAGATATTTTTCGATTTTTATGAAAATTGGTACGTATAAATGTAGGCCTATTAGGGGACTGTGAATTAAACCGCATAAGTTTCGTTACCATAGCAACCACACGGAGGCTTCTGATATGTCGAAATTTAGATATTGTTCGATTTTGATGAAAACTGGTATATAGGGATATTAGGAGACTGCAAAGTCAATCCCATAGGTTTCGTTTTCATAGCAACCACTTGGAGGTTTCTGATTGGTTGAAATTTAGATATTTTTAGATTTTGATGAAAACTGGTACATAGGGGTATTAGTGGACTGCTAATAAAACCGCATAGGTTTCGTTACCATAGCAACCACACTTCTGATTGGTAAAAAATTATATATTGTTCGATTTTGATGATAATTGGTATATAGGGATATTGAAGACTGCAAAGTCAACCGCATATGTTTTGTTTTCGTAGCAACCACATGGAGGTTTCTGATTGGTTGAAATTTAAATAGATCCGATCATTAGTACTTTCTGTGGCCATATTGTTTTTATGAGCACTCTCCAAAATAAATATACACAACTAAGACCAAGGGGAGCCAACAGACTTGAGAAAGATCCTTCAAAAACTTCCTTGGAAATAGCGATAACAAACATTCACTGTCAAATCCAAGATGGCCGCATGTCGACCATTTTATTTATACGATCAAATTCAAAAATAAACATGCACAACTGCAGACCAGGGGGAACCTTCGCATCAAATTTGAGAAAGATCCCTCTTGTACTGTTTGAGAAATATCGATAACAAGAATTGTTTAAGGACGGGCTAAAAACAGATCAAAGCCATTCATTCAAGGACATATTAAAGCAGGCTTATCTAAGGTACTTGCTGGCTTATATCACGACTCTGTTCCTGAAGGAACTTACCAGGTCTGGGACATTTCACAACAAATTTCAAACATCTATATATAGTTTGGAAATCATAAAAATCTTACAGTCTGAGTTAAACATAATTATTTAGTGTATTATACCGATTTCTTAATAGTTGTGCCCCTTTAATTACTATGAAGTCATCAATAGATCGACAATCTATGACGTCACACAATGCTGTACTGTAACGTTACTATGCACCTGGAGAACTAACACAGTGAAAGTGCAAAAGGTAACGCCTTCTTTTGACAATTAACTTGGTTTTTTATATAATAAACTTGTATTTTGTCAAGATAGTAATATTTCTGTAGTTTAAGTGATAGACTTCCTAAATTAGTATTTATCATTTATTGGCTTTGGAACTCAGGTTTACTAATCAAATTCAATCCCCATCAGAAACACATTAATGATTAATTTGTACGGACATGTGTCCAATCCCTTTGATTGTTTAATGTCAATAAAATATGTTTGAATGTGAAACGTAGAAATGTCATAAAACATTTGAAAAAAAATGAGTTTGTTAAGCAAATACAAACATGCAACACCAACAAAAAAGCCTGACGACCTACCTGCTATAACATTGACGTTAAGTGCGATCTGTGCACTATCTGATGATCCTATAGTGTTTGTGGCTCTACATTTGTAAGATGCAGTGTCTGAACTGCTCAGACCGTAGATAATCAGCGAGGGACTGGCGACATTTCCTCCTTGGTTTTTTGAACTATCAATAGCCACAGTTGTTTCGACTCCACCACTTGTTTTATACCAAGTGACTAGAGTTACAGCAGGATTTCCAGAGGCAGTACACTGCAAAGTAACTCTAGTGCCAGAATTGGGTGTATAAGACTGTGATTGTATCGTGACAGTTGGTGCACCTATAAAATAGAGAAACAAACAGCATATAAATAAAAAGATATATTACAAAAATGTGATGGCGGATCAGATGGAAATTTATTAAAATACTAAAAATATAATGTCTAATATTTTTTAAAGGCATGATCAATCATTAAGTAAGTGTAGAATTGACTAAACATCCAGTTTTAGTAAAGGCTTGGGCAAATATATGATGTAGTATACATGAGGGAAACTTTTCATCAATATCCTATCATTCCAGAGACCTAGGTAAGTAAATCAAGCAGCTGCAAGGTTAATAAAAGTAGTGATCATTCTGTAGTAAGATATTGCAATGCAACCATTCAGCCTATCAGAATTGTATCAGCTTCATTAAATATGTGAAATTGTCCAAACATTAAACTTTCAAGTTTGATCTTAATCCGTTCATTCTGTCATACAATATTTTGTGGAAAGAAATCAACCAATCAGAACGTAACAGTCTCATTAAAGTTGTACAAAACACGTTGAAAATCAAATTCCTGTGAGAAACTTAAAAGTAGTATAGCTGGCAAATTTGATAAAAAAATTATCATCCCTTCATAAGATATACGTACAGAGAGCAATTAACCAATCAGAATGTATCCGCACAAAATTTGCAGAACAAATGGGCCTGCATCGCTCACCTGGTAATAATCTCACGATTGTTACAGAAAAATGTACTAAAATGAAGATACAGGAAAAATATTAGTGTCTTAATTTAAAGTCATTTAGAAGAACCTGTTAAACGATCTAAATACATTTGAACCCTGTGACCTTAAAAGTCAATCATATACACTAAATTGAACAAACTTTATAGCCCTTCATCCCAGAATGCAACTTGCCGAATATCACCACTCTTTGCATTTTGTTTATTGAGAAGATGGCTTTTAAGGATTTATGCACTATGGGCCAGATGTGACCTTGAAAGTGTGTCAAGGTCATTCACATGAACCAGCAATTACCCTGGACGCTTTAGTTATTAAGAAGAAGTCGATTATAAATTTCAACATATTTGACCCCTGTGACCTTGAATAGTTACAAAAGTCATTCAGATGAACAAACTTGGTAGCCCTTCATCCCAACATCCTTCTGGCCAAATATCATTACCCAAGACCTCTTGGTTATTCAGAATTCGTTTAAAGATTTCCCCATATTTGACCCCTGCTACCTTGAACATGAGCGAAGGTAATTCATTTGAAAAAAAAACTTGGTACCCATTCATCCCTGCATACTTTTTGCCAAATATCATCATCCTGGTCTTTGAATATTCAGAAGAAGTCGTTAAAAGGTTTTAAGACGATTGACCCCTTTGACTTTGAACAAAAGTGAAGGTCGTTCTTTTGAACAAAGTTGGTAGCCCTCCATGTCAACATCCTTCAACCCAAATATCATCACCCTGAACCTTTTGATTATACAGAAGGAGTTTTTTAAAGATTTTTAAGACAATTGGCCCCGGTGACCTTAAATATGAAGGTCGTTCATTTGAACAAACTTGGTAGTGCTTTATCCCAGCATGTTATTGGCCAATATCACCATTCTGGGCCTTTTGGTTATTCAGAAGAGGTTGTTAAAAGGGTTTTAAGACAATTGGCACCGATGACCTTAAATATAGGCAAAGATAATTCATTTGAACAAACGGGGTAGCCCTTTATCCCATCATGCTACTGGCAAAATTTCATCAGCCTTGGCCTCTTGGTTATTCAGAAAATATGTTTTGTACATATTTGACCCATGTGACCTTAAATATAAATGAAGGTCATTTACTTGAACAAACTTGATAGCCCTTCATCATAGCATGCTACTGCCCAAAAATCTACTTCCTGTGCTTTTTGGTTATTCAGAAGTAGGTGCTTAAAGTGTTTTTTTTTAGATATTTGACCCATGTGACCTTAACAATGAGCGTAGGTCAATTATTTGAACAAACTTGGTAGCCCGTCATCCTAGCATGCTACTTGCCAAATATCATCACCCTGAAGCTTTTGGTTATGCAGAAAAAAATACTTAAAGATTTCAATATATTTGTTACCTGTGACCTTGAATATGGGCAAAGGTCATTCATTTGAACAAACTTGGTAGCACTTCATCCCAGCATGCTGCTTGCCAAATATCATCACCCTGAAGCTTTTGGTTATTAAGAAGAAATTGTTTAGAGATTTTAACATATTTGACCCCTGAGACCTGGACTATGAGTGAAGGTCATTCATTTTAACAAACATGGAAGCACTTTATTCAAGCATGCTGCTGGCCAAATATCAGCATCTGGGCATTTTGGATATTCAGAAGAAGTTGTTTTAAGTTTTTAACATATTTGACCCCTGTGACCTTGAATATGAGTGAATGTCATTTATTTGAACCAACTTGGTAGACTTTTATACCAGTTTGTGTCTGGCCAAATATCATCACCCTTGGCCTTTTGGTTTTCGAAAAGTGTTCAAAGAAAAACAAGTTGACGCCGGACAGACGGACGGACAGACGACGGACGACGGACGACGGACGCTGCGGTATGGCTAAGCTCACCATGGTCCTTCAGAAGCACTACCTTGCTATTCTGATATACATCCCTAAAATAATTTCAGCGAGCCGGAACGATAAGTTTGACTTTAGATCTGAAAAGACCTACCAATAAAATCCCAAACAGTGGTTTGTGAACCATCATGCCATCCTACATATATCAAAACAAACCATTTAGCTATTTTCAACTAATCAGAAGTTATCAAGTCTAAGCAATGAGTTTGACCGTTTACCTCAACGAGACCTTGATCTTAAGTATACAGGCCCAATAGTCGTACCAGAAGCACTACCTTGCTATTCTTATATACATGCCTAAAATAATTTCAGCGAGCCGGAACGATAAGTTTGACTTTAGATCTGAAAAGACCTACCAATAAAATCCCAAACAGTGGTTTGTGAACCATCATGCCATCCTCCATATAGCCCGGTAACTTGATCAATTTAGCCTTTGACTTAAGCACAGGGTAAGGGACCCCAAAACCGTTCTTTTGTTTTCACCTCTAAACTACTCCTACCTATATAGGTGTGCTGTGTAATAATGACCAGGGGGGAAGTAATTAGTTATTGTCCAGATCGCTTAACACGTGTATTAACCTATGCTTTGATTTTTATTTCAAAGAAGCTGAAATTCTTATGTGGAATTTTTTCTTCTTTTAAATTTATCTATTAAATTTGTTTTTCATCATTATCTTTAATAAGAACTAGTAACCTCAATTCAAAGTTCATCATGGACCTGTGAAAAATGGATATTCTAAAAACCTTCGACAAATTTCATGAGGTACAACATTTTCGTAGATTTGCAAATTTGAAACCCTTTTGAGTTAGTTAGCAACTATACAGTATTACCAAAGGACCAAATATGGAACAAATCCTTGCATTCCTACAGAAGAAGAAGGATTTTAAAGAATTTACTATATTTCCCCTATTGGGCCCCGCCCCTCAGCCCCCAGGGGGGCAACACCCACCTTTTATACAAAATTGAGTCCCCTTGGCCCAAGGATGCTCCAGACTAAATTAGAATAAAATCCCTTAATCCCTACGGTAGAAGAAGGATTTTCAAGGTTTTACCTCTATTTCCCCTATAGGGCCCCGATCCTCTGCCCCCAGGGGGGCCACACCCACCGTTTATACAAAATTGAGTCCCCTTGGCCTAAGGATACTCCAGACCAAATTTGGTCAAAATCTACTTGGCCGTTCAGGACTAGTAGCGTTTTTTAAAGGAAAAGTTGACAGACGGACGATGGACGGACGACGGACGGCGCACCATTGCATAAGCTCACTTGCCCTTCGGGCAGGTGAGCTAAAAATTAGGGTCGGTAGGTAGCTAACAAGTTTTATTTAACAAATATGTTTGCATGGTTTAAATATAAGGGTTATCTTGACTTTACTAGTGTTTCTTTGAAAATTGCCTTAAAAAGGTTTAAGGTAGGAAGGGTTACTTGAAACACCAAATAATGTTTGTTTGGCCTCATGTATAAATATTTCATTAAACTTGTATAACCTGTTTAATATGATGAACTGCATGTACAATTTTCAAAACTCAACTGTGTTTGCTTTTCCACTTAATAAAAATCTAGAGTGTCAACAAAATCCAATTTCTAGAATTGTTTAAACTTAAATTATGTCCGGATCATTACCATTATACAATTTTACCAGTACACTTTATTTCAGCAAAATATTCATTATGCACTATCCAAATTATAATCTATAATCATTTTGCCATAATGCACATCAAATCATTTGGATAATACAATTATCTGATAGTCCGATTCTGACACATATAACATGAGGTCCTTTGCATTTGTTCTTATTTCTGAACAACTGCATGGTATAATGTATACCTAAAGGATACCTACAGTGCACTTTCCATATTTGCAAACACTTCCAATTTTGAAGGGAGACAATCAATTTAAGACCGTTAAATTTTAATGTTTTTCAACCAGTGAATTTGTCAACTATTTTTAAATTCTGAGATATGATTATTTCATTTGAGAACAACTCAACATATTTCAGTGCTAGCTGTCTGGATCTTATGCACTGTTATTTTATTTTCGATAGCATAATCAAGTGACACGAAAGGCATCTCTTAATGCAAGTATTCTTTACAATGCAAATGATACAAAGGATCCATATCTCAATTTGGCCATGGAGAAAAACCCTTCCCAATTAATCTATCTGAAGAGTTAAATACAGGCCGCCCTTAGCATCAAAATAGCATCAGTTTATACCGATAAGTCCGTATACATATACCAGGTTACATATTTTGCATTATTGACGAATTGACGTTCACAACATGTTGTGAAGCGACTGTGACGTCACTTTAATACAATCACTGAAGCCAACTCGAATTTTCTGCAGCAATACATGTACATTATTTAGAATATTTTGATTTCTTATATTCTTATTTCAAAAGTTCAGTGCACATTTTTTTAAATTAAAAACTACATTGTAGGCATGGACACATAATGGATCTATTTGATGTAGTGTACAT